GTTGTGTAAAATGATGCTCCAACCAACTGAAAGCCAGGGCTAAAAAATCAGGTTTTATATTTATGGGCCACCCTCACCAGTTTATAAGTTTAGAAAGTCTTAAGATAATTACAGAATTCTTGGTTTTAGAGACCAAAGTGAGTTAACTTTAGAAGGCAGTATGAAGCTTGGGCCTAAAATCTCTAATCTGGGTTCATGGTATCTCCCTTCTAGGAGGGTTAAATTAAATATAAAAGACTGGAACAAAGTAAGTACCAGATAAATTGCAACTCTTTTTATTTTAGGCATGTTTGCATTAAATGTAATTTTTTAAAATAAAAAACTAGAAATTATAATACAATTTTTTCAGGAAGAATTTAACCACTAGCAATACAAATTTAAGGTTACACAAAGAATTACTTCTCTGGACCAAGATCTTGTCTGAAAGAATCAGCTCTGAGAAGAAATTTTACAATTCATATACATAGTTTTAATAAAAATTCAAAACAATTATTTGTTAAAAAATATTTGCATTTTCAGGGTGAAAAAATGCCCCCAAAAAATACTTTAGGAAGACAATGGGGGTTATGTAAGTCATAAGAAATAGTCATATATTGCCCTAACTGGTTTGGCTCAGTGGATAGAGTGTCGACCTGCAGACTCACAGGTCCCGGGTTCAATTCTGGTCAAGGGCATGTACCTTGGTTTTGGGCACATCCCCAGTGGGGGGTGTGCAGGAGGCAGCTGATGGATGTTTCTCTCTCATTGACGTTTCTAGCTCTCTCTCCTCCCTTCTTCTCTGTAAAAAATCAATAATATATATATATATTTTTTTATATATATATATTTTTATTGATTTTTTTACAGAGAGGAAGGGAGAGAGATAGAGAGCTAGAAACGTCAATGAGAAAGAAACATCGACCAACTGCCTCCTGCCCCCCCCCACTGGGGATGTGCTCGCAACCAAGGTACATGCCCTTGACCGGAATCGAACCCAGGACCTTTCAGTCCACAGACCGACACTCCACCACTGAGCCAAACCAGCTTTGGCTAATATATATATATATATCTATATCTATATCTATATATATATCTATATCTATATATATATAGATAGATAGATAGATATAGATATAGATATATATTTAAAAAGAAATAGTCATATAGACTCCACCTATAAGTCCAAGCCCAAAGTAGCAATAATATACTACTGGAAAAGGTTTTCTCCAGTAACTTTTACTCTTTATCCTCCCTTATGGAACTACTAGGGGCCAAGTGCACGAATTCAACCACCTTGAAAGGAATGGTGGGCCAAAAGGCTGTAGTAGGTACAGGGGCAGGTCTCCACCCATCTTCCACACAACTCCACCCCCCCCACACACACACCCTCCCCGGTCCTGTATGCCAGCACACTCCCACACATTAACAGTGCAGCTGCTGCCCTGATCGCCCCTCAGGAACAGGGGGAGGTGGAGAAGCCCTGAGGGGTGATCAGGGCCAGTAGTCACCACACCAATCTGCTGATGGCGCCAAGCAAATGGGACCAGCACCAGGCACCAGCAGCAGGTGCAAGCAGTGGCTCTCGCACTGGCAGCAGGTGCAGGAAGTGGCTGCCAGCCCCAATCTCCCCTTAGGAGCAAAGTGAGGTGGAGAAGCTGAGGGGTAATTGGGGCTGGCAGCCACCACTTGCACCCACTGACAGCACCAAGCTGGCACTGGGTGCCGGAAGTGGGTGTGAGTGGCATCTCTGGCGCCAACAGCAGATGCAAGCACCGGTGGGACCAAAGAATTTCAGGAGCAAAGAATTTCAGTAACCACCAGAGGCTCACCCCAATGACAGCGCCCTGTTCACCTGCTCCACCATCCAGCAGCAGCCAACACCTGCCATGTTCCGCCCATGCCCCCTCGTGGTCAGTGCACATCATAGTGACCAGTTGTTCCGCCATTTGGTCTATTTCAATATTAGCCTTTTATTATATAGGATTATTATATAGGATTATAATTATATAGGGGAGAAGTTGAATTAAGAAAGGCAGGCGAGAGGCACTTAGAGGCACCGCAGAGGGGCTTGCAGCTGGAGAGTGGAAGGGAAGGAGCTACAGAGGAACATGAGAGACACACATTGCATGTGTCCCTACTGGGGCTGGGAAGCCTGCAACCGAGGCACAATTCCTCATTAACTGTCTGGTGCCTAAGGCCCTACAGCGCACCTGCTACAACACAGTCTGACAGAAGCTCACCCTGATATTAGTGAAAAAAAGACACTGTTCCTCATTAACTGTCCGATGGCTAACACCCTGCAGTACTTGCTGCTGACAAGTCTGAACATAGGCTTCATGTCATCCTTAGTGAATCAAAGCCTTTCTCCAGATTGCTGAACCCATTATAATGCTGGAATAAGAATCCTGGCAGTCCCTATTGATGGGAAATATTGGATAGAGCCATATCCTTTCATGTCAGATAATTTGATGGTCAAGCAAAGTGAGTGAGGAGCACATTATAGATTCTCAGTCCAAGAGCTGAAATGGAAGAGGGATCATAGGAAAATGGGCCACTACTTACAGAATGTCTCTGTGCCTCCAGGATCATCCCAGATTTGATCATCAGGGACTGCTGTGGACTTGACCGTAGATGGAAGCCACCTGTGATGTGCAGATGGACCTCAGAGTCTGGATCACTTGCGCTTCACAGGTCTCTTGAGAGCCAAGACTCCGCTGCCCTCTAATGTGACTGCTATCCCAGCTCACACTCTGATGGACCTGCCTCATGCTGTCCAGCCTCTGGGTCCAATATCTGCTGTTTCTCCGAGACTCAGGAGGGAGTAACTTCGTGGAGGGGCTTTGTTGCCTATGTCCTGGTCTCCATGGTTCTGAGTCTGGACACTAAAGTGACAGAAGGGAGTCCTCTTCTTGTGTACTGGGTGGAGATGAGGCTAAGTGCTGAGGGGTTGTCCCAGAACGTGGCTTCTTTATTAAGTAGAAACTTTCCCCCAACATTTGACTCAAAAGAAGGCCAAGAAGAATGCTACTTACTTATGGATGGTATCAGAACTTGGTGGGGAATCCTGATCACCTACACTGTGACTCACACACCAGCCTTCCTAAGGTCCCAACTAGAATCCCTATCTGCCAGACACTGGTAGGACCATCATGTCTGCTGCAGTACATGGAGGAGGACACACACTGGACCTGTGACAGTGCCTGTCTTTTTCCAGGTTGAACCCAAAAGAAGCAAACTTTTAAGTCACTCCATGGTCATATACCCAACTGATAAATAACCTGCCTCTAAAATCTGGAGGCCCCCTGGGTGCTGTTTCTCCATCTTGGTAGCAGGTGGGGCCAGATGCCAGCAATCATTGTTTACTTCAAACAGTTACCTCCCCCAGAATAGCACTGGGTACAACAATACTTCACTGAGTAAGAATTCTCAATTTTAGTCAGATTTCTTCCTCAGCTACTGACTCTAAAAGTGTATCAACTCTAGAGTAGTATTGTCCCACTCACTTGGTCCATTCTGCATAATGTCGTCATTGTAATTGACCAGCAGTGAGGACCTTCAGCCTGTAGAGATGATTCATCCCGGAGGAAAGATAATGAAGGTATAAGGGAGCCTTGCCACCTGAGAGAAGGCAAATTTGATTGAACTATGGAAATACAAAGTGGAGGCATTTGCCTGCACTGTAGGTGCATATGGTACAAGGTGATGTGGACTTTGAAGTCACTCAAGCAAAGTAACCACATGGTACAGAAGCAGCATCTAGGGCATTAGTTCTTAACCTAATGTCGTGACCCTTTAATACAGCTTCTCATGTTGTGGTGACCCCCAACCATAAAATTATTTTTATTGCTACTTCATAACTGTAATTTTGCTGTTATGAATTGTAATGTAAATATCTGTGTTTTCCGATGGTCTCAGGCCGCAGCCGGGAAGCTGGACTGGAGCCTGGTGGGTCCAGGATTCTCTAAGAGGTTCTTCTAGAAACAGACCCCTCAGATACTTCACTTCAGGACCGAGCACTCGATAACTAGAGCCACCTGGAGGCCAGCTCTGGGGATGCACAGCCCAGCCATGAGGAAGAGCCGGCCCAGCTGGCCCAAGTGTGGCCTTGCCACAGCCCCTGGTGAGAGTCAAGGGCTTGGTGGGCACAGCACTGCTCTAGCCAGGGCCCAGGGACAAGGCCTTGTCAGCGGGTGTTTAGGGGGAACCCACTGTGCCGCAATGGTGGTGGGAATGCCCAGGACACAGGTGATGGAGCAGTACATGAGCCAGGGCTGCAGGGAGCAGGAGCAATGCAGCCAGGGCGCAAAGCTCCGTAATGTAGAGCAAGCCCCGCATAATGCAGTTTGCAAACTGTCCGAGAGGCTTTCTGGGAAAAACAATAGGTGGCATGAAAGAGCCAGGAGAAGTGAGGCAGAGCTCTATGCCCAGGAACATCACCAGCCCACCTGCCCTAGCAAGGGCCGGAAGTACCTCTGGTCTGAGCAAGGTCAAGGTTCACAGAAAAACAGCAAAAAGAACAAGCAGAGCCTTGCAGCGAGAGCCCTTTTCTGTGCGGGTGCAGCTGCTGCTGGGAGCGGCCTGCGCGGAGGGCCTGGCCCGTGCTCTGCAGCAGGAAGCTGTCCTGCAGCCGGTCAGGGAGCACGGGCTACAGTGCGGGCCTCAGCATCCCTCCCAGACCTCATGCACCCACTCCATCTCCTCCCTGGCTGGCTGGGTGCTCGCAGCCAAAGGGCAGGCCCTGCACCTCCCCCTCACCCTGGGGCTTTGCACTTGCTCCATTTCAGCGCTGGTTGGGTCACGGATTCCCCAAGCAGTTCTTCAGCATGTGCCCCAGCTCAGTCGAGTCACCCTGTTACTGGCAAGAGCCCCGTTGCACTTGGCCCCCACTGGTCCCTTCTGAGTAGAGATCTAGCTGGTACATCAATGCCCTGCACCTCCAGCTGGGGAACAGCTTGGGTGTGTCATCCCAGGGAGCAGACTTTTAGGCAAGCTGGCATCGCCTCAGCTGGGGCCCACCGCCCTCCCACTACACCTCCCAGCGGGCCAGGTGGCCTGCAGCTGAGCCTCCTGATCTTCATGCTCTACCAGGCACCGTTCTTCTGATGGCAACTGACAGTGGATCTCAGAGCACAGGACTGGCCTGCAGGGAGCACACACTCATTCCAAGACCCCACTACTGCTGTCCGCCTAGATAGATGGGCCTCATCTGAGTGTGCTCCAGCCTCATGCAGAGCACAAGGCATGTCTGCAGGTGTCCCGGAGCGTTCCCCTCACCAGCAATGGCCATCAGCATGGAAGAGAGTGTGTTTAGTGAAAGGACCTCAGCCAGCCATGCAAAGACTATTGAGTTATCACAAGATCCAGGATCAGAACTGTAGACTTTGTAACAGCCAGAGCAGACTGATTGTGGAGGGGGCGGGGGGTGGGGGGTGGGAGAGGAAGAGGAGGAAGATGAGGAGGAGGAAGATGAGGAGAAGGAGAGAGGGAGGGATGGAGGGAGGGAGAGAGGGAGAGAGAGAGGGGGGGGAGAGAAAGAAATTAAGAAATTAAAGGAAGGAAGGAAGGAAGGAAGGAAGGAAGGAAGGAAGGAAGGAAGGAAGGAAGGAAGGAAGGAAGGAAGGAAGGAAAGAAAGAAAGAAGGAAAGAAAGAAAGAAAGAAAGAAAGAAAGAAAAGAAAAGAAAAGAAAAGAAAAGAAAAGAAAAGGCAGGAGAATGAACAGAAGGAACAGTTCTAGGAATCCCCGACTGTTTCAAGTTGGTTCCTTTTCTATTCTCTCTGCCTTACTTCAAACCCTCCTCATCCTTTAGCTGGTGTATGGCCACCACTCTTTACATTTAAAAAATTTAAACAACAAACAGAAAAAGAACCTTCAAATAACACAAAATGTCAGTGGAAAGTAGCACTTTTCTTCTCCTCTCACCCAAAAAAAAACTATTAAGAGTTCTAAAAATAAACTTAGAAATACAACAAAGATTATGTGATTAACATTATATTAATAAGAGTAATATGCAAACTGACCATCACTCAGACACAAAGATAGCTATCTTCATGTGGTCACCACAAAATGGCTGGCAGGGGAGGGCAGTTGTGGGCAAGGGAGGGCCCCAGGCCTGTAGGGGACAGTTTGGGGGATCTGACCTGCAAGGGAGAGCAGTTGTGGGGGGACCAGGTCTGCAGGGGAAGACAGTTTGGGGGAACCAGGCTTGCAGGGTAGGGCCGTTGGGGGGTACCCAGGCCTGAAGGGGAAGGCCGTTGGGGGGTACCCAGGCCTGCAGGGGAAGGCCATTGGGGGGTACCCAGGCTTGCAGGGGAAGGCCGTTGGGGGGTACCCAGGCCTGCAGGGGAGGGCCGTTGGGGGGTACCCAGGCCTGCAGGGGAAGGCCGTTGAAGTGGACCAGGCCAGCAGGGGATAGCAGTGGGAGGGACTAGGCTTCAGGGGAGGACAATTGTGGGTGATTAGGCCAGCAGGAAGGGCAGTTAGGGGTGACCAGGCCAGTAGGGGAGGGCAGTTAAGCGCAATCAGGCTGGCAATGGAGTGGGTAGGAGGTGATCAGGCTGGCAGGTAGAAACAATTCAGGCAATCAGGAAGGCAGCTGGCAGCCAGTAGTCCTGAATCGGGCCTAAATGGGAGGTAGGACATCCCTCAAGGGGTCCCAGATTGGAGAGGGTGCAGGCTAGGCTGAGGAACACTCCCCCCCATGCAAATTCCGTGCACCGGGCCTCTAGTAAAACTTATAAAAAGCTGAAGTGTTGCCAAAACCGGTTTGGCTCAGTGGTAGAGCGTCAGTCTGCGGACTGAAAGGTCTCAGGTTCGATTCCAGTCAGGGGCATGTACATTGGTTGCGGGCACATCCCCGGTGGGGAGTGTGCAGGAGAAAGCTGGTCAATGTTTCTCTCTCATCGACGTTTCTAGCCTCCCCTCTCTCTCCCTTCCTCTCTGTAAAAAAATAAATAAAAAAAAATCAGGAGGATCCAAGATGGCTGCTCGGGTAGACACCTAACCGCAGCAGCACACAACAATTTCAATGGAATACAACTAAAATGTAGAGTGGACATCGCCCAGAGCTACAGGTAGTCGACTGACTGAAAATTCTACAACAAGAAGGAAAGAGAAAACCAGAAGGAAAATCAGAGGAGCTGAAAAAAGCCTAAGGTACGGAGACATGCTGCGCGCTCGCACGCACGCACGCACGCGCGGAGAGGTCACAGCCGGAGAGAAGGGGGCTGGGTGCTGCCTGGCGTTCCCTAGCAGGAAGGAAATAAAACCCCCAGCCTGTACTAAACCCCCGAACCAGCAGCGCTGACGCCCAGTTATGAGCCAGACCCTGGGGACCCAGGCTCCAGCGGGGGAGACGGGGCTGTGAGGCGGATTCCCAAGCGAGCAGCGAAAAGCAGGGCCCCCGGAGTCGCGCGCACATTGTGTGCAGAGGACTGAATGTTGACTTTGATGCTGGATTACCCTAGCCGGAAGAAACAAAGCCTCCGGCGGCGCTGTGCCTCAGTCCGGACTGCTCTGAACCCCAGTCCTGGACCAGACCCTGGGGACCCAGGCTCGGGCAGGGGGAGACCGGGCTGTGAGGCAGAATCCCAGAGGAGTGGCAAAAAGCGGAGCCCCCAGAGTCGCGCGCACTGCACGCAGAGGACAGTCTGTTGACTCTGATCCTAGACTCCCCTAGCAGGAAGGAGAAAAAAAAAGCTCCAGACTGGAGGAATGCGACAGGGAGCAGGAGCCCCTGCCGGACACCAGCCAGCCGGGTGCCGGCAGGGAGCCAGGCGACGGGGACCCCAGGGGGGGGGGGGGGCTTGCCCCTGAGCCATCGACCTCTGAGCGCGGGCTGCTTCCTGGGCGGCGCTGACCCCGGCAACAGGCTGGAGCAGCGCGGGAGCCCGAGAAAGGGGTGCCACAGGCCAACCTGCTGAGCTCCCAGGACAGGAGGAAGAAACCAAAGTTCTCAATGTGAAGACATCAAGTGAGAGCAAAAGATAGTAAAATTACTTAAGAAAGAATACAAAGAAGATCTTGAAAATTCAAAGACTAAGTCAGAACTCAACTCACCAGCCAACATTGCAACATAAATGCGTTAAAAAAAAAAAAAAAAGACAGAATGTTGGAACAGCAGTGGCCAGGCCTAGAGTGCCCAGGCACAAAGCAATGGCAACCGGGCCCAGAGCAGCAACGGCCAGGCCCCAGAGCAGCAGCAGCCAGAACCAGAGCAACAACAGCCAGCACTGGAGCAGCCAGACCTGGGGCACTGGCAGCCAGGACTGAGGCGGAGGCAGCCAAGCCCAGGGAGGCCAGTCCAGGAACACCCAGACCCGGAGTGGCCGGGCCCGGAGAAACCGGGCCCAGAGCAGCCGGGTTGGGAGCAGCCAGGTCCAGAACAGCAGTAGCCAAGCCCGGAGCATCCAGGCTGGGAGCGGCCAGACTCAGAGCGGCCGGGCCCGGGGCAGCCGGGCCCGGAGCAGCCGGGTCTGGTGCAGCCAGGCCTGGAGCAGCGGCTGCCAGGCTGGGAGCTGCCAGGCCCGGAGCAGCCAGGTCTGGTGTGGCCAGGCCTGGAGTAGCGGCTGCCAGGCTGGGAGCGGCCAGGCCCAGAGCAGCCGGGTCTTGTGTGGCCAGGCCCGGAACAGCGGCTGCCAGGCTGGGAGCGGCCAGGCCCGGAGCAGCCGGGTCTGGTGTGGCCAGGCCCGGAGCAGCGGCTGCCAGGCTGGGAGCAGCCAGGCCCGGAGCAGCCGGGTCGGGTGCGGCCAGGCCCGGAGCAGCAGCAGCCAGGTCCAGAGCAACTAGGTCGGGAGCGGCGGTGACCAGAACCGGAGCAGCTGGTTGTGGAACGAAACAGCCCGGAACAGCTAGGCCCGGAACAGCTCGCTCTTCGCCTGCCCCTGCCCCACGGCTGCCTCTCAGACATGGCTGGAAACTTTTGTGGGAACTTGAGGGTCTGCTGAATCAAGTGATGAAGGCTTAGATCTGGACGTGTTGAGTTAGTATAGCACTGGGGTGTTGATCTGTGAGTGCCTTGTGTGGGGCCTGGATGAGGCTGGTTGACCTATTTGGAAATGTCTTTTGTGTGAAATGTATCATTGGGCATGTGGTGGTATTATTGATATGAGAAAATGCTAAGTAACTGATTTACTATCTGAAAAGGGATTTACTATCAGGGAAAGGGAGGGAGGAAGAGACTGAACATAAACTGCACCTATGGATGAGGACAATGGGGGATGGGGAGGGGGCGGAGGGTGGGATGGGAACCTGGTGGAGGGAGGAAGAAATGAGGAACCTTTGTAACAATTTGAACAATAAAGATTGATTAAAAAAAAAAAAAAAAAAGCTGAAGTGTTTCCCAAAACAACTCCCACCTTATACTTGGTGAATGTGAAATTCTATATATAGAATAGGTGGTATAACATAAAAACTTACATACCAATTATTTCACTATAATTTAGACCATATTAATTCTCCAAGGAACATTTTCTGCATACAAAAACTCAATTTCTTTTTATTTCTTTCATGAAAGAAGAAAGCAGGTAAGAAAACTCTATGACCAGAGTGAATGGGATTACTATCTGCTTAACATTAAAAGATAATCCCATACATAATTCTGGACACACTAGGCTAAAATCAACACAAGTGCAATAAACACAAAAGTTAACCCCATAATAAAAAATCAGATTTTAATAAAATCAAGGTTTTTCAGTCAAATTATTAAAAATGTTATCAGAGTAAAACACATTCTCCCCCTCAAATATGTATGCAAAAAAAGCTTCCCTTTTTCCAATTTGACATTGCTAAACCAAAAATGAATCCCAAACCGATCTTTAATTTCTTTTTGTGGTATCATCTATTACTTTAGCATTTCACAGGAATTTGCATAACATGACAGAGAACAGAAATAAGAAATAATTGGTGCTTCAGTGCCACCCATATTATCTACTAAGACCACAGTGTGAGCAACAGAGTGTAGATTCATGGTAGTCATCCCCTGAATAAAACTGTTCAGACAGAATCCTCCACAGACACAGGTTTTTGCAGTATCCAAATCTTGGCAAAGATGGAAAGGAATAATATGAGAGCCATATGGAATCCTATTGGAAAAAAAGTTTTAAAAATATTTTAAAATATATTACTAGATTCAGAACTTCACATATTAGGATATAAATTATAGAAAATAGAATTATAACCATAAAAAATAAAACTATTAACTAAATGACACAATATACTGTTTTATCTTACAAACTGGGTAATGGAGAAAATATTCCAAAAAAACAGTATATGATATATTGTAAGACCAGTGTAATATGATAGGTTAACCATCTGTACACCATCAGCGTCTATAAACGAACCTTTTTGTTTAAATTTAAAATATCGAGGCAGTTAACTAGTTACATATATAGCTCTGTCATACAATTCTCATAATGTTAATTGATTTCTACTTGTGAAGAAACATTCAAATAAATCCACATACTCTCCTAGGCATCAATTATCCAAAAGGAAATTTTAAAACTATGTGAAACAAGCTGAAACCAGTTTGGCTCAGTGGATAGAGCATTGGCCTGCAGACTGAAAGAAGTCTTTTTTTTTTTTTTTTTTTAATATATTTTATTGATTTTGTACAGAGAGGAAGGGAGAGAGATAGAGAGTTAGAAACATCGATGAGAGAGAGTCATCGATCAGCTGCCTCTTGCACACCCCCCACTGGTGATATGCCCGCAACCAAGGTACATGCCCTTGACCGGAATCGAACCCGGGACCCTTCAGTCCCCAAGCCGACGCTCTATCCATTGAGCCAAACCGGTCTCGGCTGAAAGAAGTCTTATATGGCTGAAACTGGTTTGGCTCAGTGGTAGAGCATTGGCCTGCGGACTGAAAGGTCCCAGGTTTGATTCCGGTCAAGGGCATGCATGTACCTTGGTTGTGGGCACATCCCCAGTAGGGGGTGTGCAGGGGCAGCTGATCGATGTTTCTCTCTCATCGATGTTTCTAACTCTCTATCCCTCTCTCTTCCACTCTGTAAAAAAAATTAATAAAATATATTAAAAAAACAAACAAAAAAAACCCTATGTGAAACAAATTTAAAACACTGTTTGGGGCATTAGCTTTACTTTACTGGCTGAGCAGTAAGGCTGTCCTCACCTTGCTTAAATTATGCACCCTCCTGCTTTGTATTGGTACCCAATGCAATTAAAATCAAGTCTACACAAAACTAAAAGACAGTCTCTTGAGATTGCCCTCATCTACACAAAACTAAAAGATAGTCTCTTGAGATTGCCTGCCTAATGTCCAACTTCTTCCCCCTAAATACAACAATGCCCCAGGCACTTATTGCCTGTATACTGCTGTTTCTATATGCTGACACACATTAGGTGTTCAGATCTTTTTCAAAAAATAAAACCTATTCTTATTTAAACCAAAGTTAAAAACCCTTTTGAAAAGAAAAACATTACATAAAAAATAGTGGTTTACTTTTCTTAAAGAATTTGAAATTGGCCTTGTTTGCAATTTTTCATTTTTTCACATGTACTTATTTGTTGCTTGATTAAGTAACAATTTTCTAAAAACGGTGCCAGCAATTAACAATAAAAAAGATCTCTTACCTTTTGAGACAGTATGGAGGGACCTGGAGAGCATTATACTAAGTGAAATAGTCAGAGAAAGACATGTATCACATGATCTCACTCATATGTTAAGTCTAAGTAACAAAATAAACTGATAGACTGGATCCAGACACATGGAAGCATGGAACACAGTGGAGAATCTCAAGGAAGGCAGGGAGGGAGATAATCAACCAAGGATCTTTTATTTATTTACTTTTTTAAAGATATTTTATTGATTTTTTACAGAGAGGAAGAGAGAGAGAGCTAGAAACGTCGATGAGAGAGAAACATCGACCAGTTGCCTCTTGCACACCCCCTACTGGGGATGTGCCCGCAACCCAGGTACATGCCCTTGACAGGAATCGAACCCAGGACCCCTCAGTCCGCAGAATGACGCTCTACCACTGAGCCAACCAAGGATCTTGTATGCATATATGCAGGGCCCATGGACACAGACAATGGGGTGGTGAAGGCCTGTGGTAGAGGCTGGCTGGAGGCGGTCAATGGGGGGGAAAAGGGGACATATGTAATACTTTCAACAATAAAAAATTACTTAAAAAAAAAATCTGTACCAGGAAGTGTCTATCACATATTTACATCTAGGCTATTGGTTATATTCTAAGGCAGTGGTTGGCAAACTGCAGCTCATCATGTGGCTAATCATCAGAATTTTTAAGCTCTTCAGATGATTCCAAATGTTAAGTAAAGTTTGAGAACCACAACTCTAAAATAAGAATTCTTAAGCTATGGATTGAGAGGAAGGAGGATTGGATTGGATTTCAGAGGGGTTCATGAACATTTTAAAGTTGTATGCAAAATTTTGTGTGTACTCATGTGTGCATTTTTCTAGGACCATAATTCTGGTCAGTTGCTTTTAAAATTTTTCTTTTAATTTATTTTTAGTAAGGGGAAGGGAGAGGACAGAGAGGGGGGAGAAGAGGAAGGAAGAGAGAGGGGGGGAGGGAGAGGGAGAGAGATACATCTATGTGAGAGCAAAACATGGATGGGCTCTGGGGATCTAGACCACAACCCAGCCATGTGCCCCACTCAGAATTGAACTGGCAACTCTTCAGTGCATGGGACAGAATGATGCCAACCGAGCATCAGGGCAGGTTTTTTTTGTTTTGTTTTTTTTTAAGTTTTCAAGAGTCTCTCCCCTACTAAAAAAAATTAAGAATCTCTTCTTTGAAATATGGTCTTGCTACTATTTTATAGGCACTCAATAATGAAAGAAATGGAAGGAATACCTGAAGTTCCTTATCTCACAAAACCAACTTCAGTGAGTGCACAAAGGGAAAAGAACCAACCGTTATTGAGTCCTATTATGTGCCAAATGCTTTGGCATTACATTATCTCATTTATCTTCACAACTCTGTTCCTGTTTCAGATGGGAACATGGAATCAAAGGAGTTAAATGACTTGCTAAAGTCTGACTCCAAAGACCATACTTTACCACTATACCAGTTTAGAGTTATCAAACTTTAGAGTGCATCAGAACTACCAGGAAGACTTATTAACAGTTTCCAATTCAGTAGTTCTGGAGTGAAGTTCAAGAACTTGCATCTCTAACAAATTACTACGTGACATTGATGCTGCTGGTCAGGAGATCATAGTTTGAAAAACAATGCCATTTTTTCAAGCATTTATTAAGTGCCTAATATATGGCAAAAGCGGAGGTATCTCATTTTAAATACTAGGGAAACAGTGGAAAATAAGACTAAGTCCATGCCCTTATGGAACTTACAGTCTAGTGGGGAAAACTGACAGAAAACAAATGTTAAAAAAATTAATGCCAGGTAAGACATCCTATGACCAAAAAAAAACCAAAATAAAATAAAGCAATATAAGGGGTGGAGGATAAACTTTTAGATAGGGTCACAAAATAACTTTCTGGAGTTCCACTTGGATGAAGTGAGGAAGTAAGCTATAAGAATTTCTTGAGGAAAAAGCATTCCAAGAAGAGAGAGGTAGTAGCAAGGCCACCATAGCAAGGGGTCAGATTCTGCACAGAGCTGTGGTTACTTACTTACTAGTAGTCTGAGGATGATGAGAACACTAGAATGCTATCAAAAGAACCACATTTTATGACAACCAAAATCTTACCTATTATGTAATATGGTTCGTGCAGAAGATTCCAATAAAGTTAATGGTGTTTGCAGCATTATAACTGGAAGAGCTTTTGGCTGTTCAAAAGTATTTCCAAAAAGATCCAAGTACTCAAGGGACAAATTTTTAAATTCACTAGGCAAAAACGGAAGCTTATTTCGAGCTGCCGACAAAAATCGCAGGTTTATCAATTGTCCTATCTTCATAGGAAATTGAATCAATTCATTATCATCAAGTTTTAAATCTGTAAGTTCTCGGAGCTGGCAAAACTGCACAGGTAGTGCCTTAATTTTGTTCTTGCTCAGATCCAAACTCCGAAGTGATTTCTGGAGTGTAGATTGACACAATGCCACACTAAATGACTCCAAGTGATTGTCATTCAGGTTAAGTTCTTGAAGGTGAATGAGGTCTCCAACTGTAGCTGGAAGCTTTTTTATATGATTGTGACTCAAGTCTAATTTCTTAAGGTTTTTTAAGCAAAGCATACGCATATCAACTCGGACAAGCCCACAATAAGAAGTCTGAAGATGTTCCAGATAATATGGGAAGTTTTTGCTTAGAGGATAGTGCTTTTTGGATGTGATGACCATTTTAGTTTTAAAATTTTCAAATTCTGAAGTCTTCACTGGTGTGAGGGGTGAAAATTGTGTCTCAACATCACAGCCTCTATGAGCCAGTCTCAGAGCTGAAAGGAAACTCTTTAAACTGCTGGAATTGGCCTGAATAAATAAAAGTAAGTTGTATAAGTATAAATTTCATTTTAGATAATGAATACATAATTCAACATATAACAAATTCTGTCTAGTTATATAGGCAAATGATCCAATTATAACTAAAAATGGTTATAAAAACAATTTTTTAGTATTCTATTTTGACTAAATTTCAATATAGATACAACTTTAAGGTTTGGTTTTTTTTTTAATGTTGAGAGACAAACTCTAAAGAAAACTGTTCAGCAGGGGAACCATAGAGTATAAAATAAAATACGAAAGCATGAAAAAATTCCACCTGAGATTTGGGTTTAAGATGAATTCATCCAGACCTCCAGTGCCCCTGCGATAGGCTAAGATAGCCCTGTGCACTGTAAAATGTACAGGGGTTCCATTCATAAAGATCAGGAGTTGTGAAAAGCCAGGCCTTGTCTATCAAAATCAGACTTAAATGGCTACTGTCAAGAGTATAAGGAAATATCAAAATCAAGTGAGAATGCTTACAATTGAACAGAGATATCACCAATCAAGTGGTATATTAACTGTCATCAAGCCCTAGCTGGTTTGACTCAGTGGATAGTGTCAGCCTGTGGACTGAAGGGTCCCAGGTTCGATTCTGGTCCAGGGCACCTGCCTGGGTTGCGGCTCCATCCCCAGTGGGGGGCATGCAGGAGACGTCTCTCATCATTGATGTTTATGTTTCTGTTTCCTCTCTCTCCCTCACCACTCTCCCTCTCTGAAATCAATAAAAATATTTTTTTAAAAAAAATAAAAATAACAAATACTTTGCAGGATACTTTACAAGTTTACTAAAGTTTACATGTGAAGGAATAGGGAACTTTAAGTGTAGGAAACGAAGTATGCGATCCTATTTGTTTAGAATGAGGGAGCTTGGTAGACGAGTAAAAGATTAGAAATACAGCATGAGGATAGATTCTAGATGAGCCTGATGTCAGGGTTAAGGAGGACAGAATGATCAGGCTGTGGGCAATCACTGAAGTATTTTGAGTATGAGAATTACATAGAGCTTAGTATTACTTTGGCAGTAGTATACAGTAAAGTAGAGTGAGAAAAACCTGGAGATCTTGGTCAAGTAGACAGTACCAACTTGGAGTTACATACAATACGGGTTGAGCTATGGGAATGGAAGGCAAGTATGGCAGAAAACTGAAATAAAGCCTTTATTTAGGGGACAGGAAAAAGGTTGTCAGAGATAAGAGACAAAGAAGTGGTTAAAGGTAAATCAGGACAGGATTTGTAACAGATGCCAAGAAAGGAAAGAAGGAAATGGTCATCCGTGTCAAATTCTAGAGCTAAAAAATGTGAGAAAAAAATGGCAATGTGATTGGCAAATAAAAGGAGATCACTGATCTTTGAGGCAGTGTTTTGGATACATCAGTGAAAGTAAAGGTAAAAACAGCCAAAACCGGTTTGGCTCAGTGGATAGAGCGTCGGCTTGGGGACTGAAGGGTCCTGGGTACAATTCCGGTCAGGGGCATGTACCTTGGTTGAGGACATATCCCCAGTAGGGGGTGTGCAAGAGGCAGCTGATCGATGACTCTCTCTCATCGACGTTTCTAGCTCTCTCTCTCTCCCTTCCTCTCTGTACATCAATAAAAAAACACACACACACACATATATATATATATATATATATATATATATATATACACACACACACATATATATATATATATATATATATATATATATATATATATATATATATATATGTTCCCTATTCCTTCACATGTAAACTTTAGGAAACTTGTAAAGTATCCTGCAAAGTATTTGTTACTTTTATTTGTTTTTTAAAAATATTTTTATTGATTTCAGATTACTATATAAAAAAAAAAAAAAAAAAATAAAAAAAAAAGAAAGTAAAGGTAAAAACAGATCCTAAGAAAAATGGAGACAATAAATTTAACCCTGTCTTCCCAGAAATTTGTTTATCCTATTTTTTAAATACGTAAGACTTCACTTGCTTTTTAGGTAGAAAAAAAGAGTTAGTGCCCTAGCCAGTTTGGCTCAGTGGATAGAGTGTAGGCCTGTGGACTGAAAGGTCCCGGGTTTGATTCTGGCCAAGGGCATGTGCCTCGGTTGCAGGCTTGATCCCCAGGCCCCGATTGGGGCTCATATGGGAGGCAGCCAATGCATGTGTCTCTCTCACAGCGATATTTCTCTGTCTCTCCCCTTCACTTCCATTCTCCCTAAGAATCAATGGGAAAATATCCTTGGGTAAGGATTAATAACAACAACAACAAAAATTAGTGGAAGGATAGACTAAACATCAAGTGAAAATGAAAAATCACAAGAACAGAAGGAGGTAGGACAAAATGATTCCATTCAACACAGATACCTTAAAAGTTGTTAAACTTTTAATGTTTGAAAAGGATTTTGCTTAGGGTTAAGAATAATGCAAGGATGAATAAGACATTGCTCCTACCCTCAAGGAAAAGGGAAAACAAAAAAAGAAGGAAAAGAAGAACAAAGAAGCAGTCTTTTTTTTCTTTTTATTCTAATGGTCTATCTAGTTTTAAAAATAATTATAGTAATAAAATACCCCAACAAGGTTCTAATTGCATTTTATCCTTTTTTTAAAAAGAAAAAAATTTTTTTAACACTTATATAACCTATAATTCAGCTGGCAAAATGTAGACCCGTGCCACCTTCCTTGAGAGTTCCAGTATAAGAACACCTTAAGGCTCTATTTTGGGTACAGAAGCAAACCTAGTTTTCCTCCCTATCAAGGGCAGCCTTATACAAAGGCTGCCTCTGTCCTTTTAGAGGAATATATTGGTAAACACTACTAGGAAGCTGCCATCACTTCTTCAAATACATCTGCAAGAGTACGTCCCTATTCAGCCATGAGAGATATCAGGATGCTCAAAAGCCTCTTTTATTTTTGGTCAATCCTTACCCAAAAATCCTTTTTCCATTGATTTTTTTTTTTTTTTAAGAGAGTAGAAGGGAGAAGAAGTAGAGAGAGATTGATGTGAGAGAGACACATTAATTGGTTGCCTCCCATATGAACCTCCACAGAGGCTGGGTATTAAGCCTACAACAAAATATGTGCCCTTGACCCTTCAGTCCTTCACTGATGCTCTAATCACTGAGCCAAACCAGCTATGGGTCAAATGGCCTCTAATTTAATTTAAAGAAAATACAGCCAACCAACCTTAAGATTAATATTTTTAATATCATACCTTACTTAGGCAGATATCCACAGCAGGTTCCTTTAATCGAACAGTGGCTTTCCCCTCATCCACAAATTTGGTGAAGAATTGCTCAATGTTCCCCTTTAGCTGCTTAAAACCAATGGGAAAAAAAGAACAAAATCAAGTACTGTTAATACTAGCAGTTATTACTAGCAGAATATGCCAGTCATTTTGTGAGGTTTGTCTTTTAGTCCTTATGTCTGGGTATTTTACAGTTTTAAGTTTTTTGTTTTGTTGGGTTTGTTTTTAGTAGTTGGGTAGCTACATTTCTTATCTACCTTCTGATAGGTACTATTGTTCTATCAGTTCAGTTAACTCTGTCCTCTTCTGAGAACAGAATCCCCTGTGTTTTGAGAGAATATTCCTCTTCTCCCATTCCAACTATGTAGCTATAGTGAGTTGCCAAGAGTAAATACCTGCCTTTTAAATTTCAGTCCATTAGTCTGGGGTGAGCATACCTCCCACAAGATTATAAATTCCACAAAAGCAGGTATCTTGTCTCCTTTGTTCATTTTTGTATCCCCAGAGCTAGACAATGACTAACACATAACAGATGCTCAAAATATTTTAATGACTGATGTTACTTCTGCTTTAGACTTCAACAACAATTTATCCAGAAGCCATTATATATCAGATTAACTATAATAGGGGGCTTGGGATAACAGAGATGAATAAAACCAGAATGGTAAGCACACTTAGACAGTTGTCAATCTGACATTTATTAAAATAATTGTAAATATAATTAAGGCAAATATGTAAGCAATTATTAAGACGAGGAAGTTCAGGCTACTATAAAACCTTATATAACAAAGAAATCTTACCTGGTCTTAGGATATGAAGGTGACCTTGAAGGTGAGAACTAAAGGATTAGGACATGTATAAGAGAGAGAAGATGGCTTACTAATAAAAGGGAACCATGTGCAAAGCATTGAAAGCAAGAAAGCTTGGCAGCTGTGAGGAGCTGAAAGAAGTTCAGTATGGCTGAAAGATCCAGTGAAAAGGTAAGAGAGCCTAAAGAGGTAAACAGATTAAACGGTGAAAGATGTTTTAAACCATGTTAAGAATGTTGTGGGGGTTTGTTAATTCTTACTTGAAGATATTTTTTTTCCATTGATTTTTAGAGAGAGGGAGGGAGGGAGGAAAAGAGAAACATCGATGTTACACATCGATTGGTTGTGCATTCTCGACTGGGACTGGGGAATTCAAACCTGCAATCCAAGTCAGTGCCTTTGGTGCATGGGCCTATGCTCTAACCCAGGGGTGAGAAAGATCTGGCCTGCAGGGCCGTATAAAGGTCTTGAAATCATTTGGTCTGAACCTGCCAAGGCATTAAGGTTTAGTTAATTAGATGTTTGACCAAATATAGCAGGTTAATTTGTAAGCTGATCATTTTGTATGACTGTAAATAATGTTATAGATATCTAAATGGCTCTTGACAGAAAAAGGGTGCCCATCCTGATCTAACCACTGAGAAATACTGGCCAGGACAAGAATTTTGTATTTTGGCCCTAGCTGGGTAGCTCAGTTGGTTAGAGCATCATCCAGATACACCAAAGTTTCAGGTTCAATCCTTAGTCAGGGCACATACAAGAATCAACCAATGAATGCAGGTAAGTAGAACAACAAATCGTTCTCTCTCTCCCTCCCTCTCTCTTTAAAATGGATAATTAAAAAAAAGAAAAAAAGAAAAAGAATTTCAGATATATCCTAACAATGATATTCATTGGAAGAATTTAAGCTGGGAATATCATTAGATCTATATCTTTACAGGTTCCCTTTAACCACAGGGTAAGAATGGACTTTGGAGGCTAGGGGGTGGGGATGAAGAGTGGGAGGAGGGAAGGACAACAGAGGTAGTGATCCTTTAAGAGATTAGCCAGGCAAGGTATAATGATGGGTTAGACTACAACTGGGATGGATGAAAATTTGAAAGATATCTAGGAGGTAGAATTGAAAGGATTCAATAATATATTGGATGCAGGGAGGCAAAGGCTTTAAGATTTCTGGATAAAAACAGAATACTAATTAATAAGTTGTAGAACACTGTCAGAAAAGCAGGTTATGGGTGACAAGGACAATTACTGTCTAGGTATTTTGAGGTTGAGATGCTGCAACACATCCAAGTGAAGATTTCCAGTAGACAGCAGATTAAAATCAGAAGTTAAGCCAAAACCGGTTTGGCTCAGTGGATAGTGTCGGCCTGCGGACTGAAGGGTCCTGGGTTCGATTCCGGGGCTGTACCTTGGTTGCAGTCACATGGGGGGCGGGGGGAGGTGGTGGTGGTGCAGAAGGCAGCTGATCGATGTCTCTCTCTCATGGATGTTTTTAGCTCTCTATCCCTCTCTTCCTCTCTGTAAAAACCCAATAAAATATATATATTTAAAAAAAGAAGTTAAGGGATTTATACATTTATCTGGATAAGATGAAAAGTATGTTTCTCACTGCTCTTCTAAGATCTATTCCTTCTGATGACCACCAATTTGATGCCCTCCATCAATATGTCATGCAGATTTATAAAGTCAGATGTGAGTCATGACTATTTCTGTGAGTGTATGTGTGTATGTGTGGGGGGAGCTAAATGTTGTCCAGCATTTTTTTTTAAGTGAAAAAAGAATATAAAAAAGTGTACCACATTGGGCAAACTATCACATCACATCAAACATACATACACACGTGCACACCCCTCTAAGATACAATTGTACCCCCCTTATCTAAGGGGGAAGATACATTCCAAGGTGCCCAATCAATGTATGGAAGAACAGACTGGCAAACTCATATAATGTTTTTTCCTATGTATACATGCCTATGACAAAGTTTAAATTCTAAATTAAGAACAGTAAGAGATTAACAATAATAACTAATAATAAATAGAATAATAATTTTTTAAAAAGTAAGTAAAAGGAGAAGACTGGCCAAAGATATAAATTTGGATATCACAATTGGAGGGTAGCTGAAATCATAGGACAGAAAAGTAAGTGTAAGAAAGAGGCCTATGGTACTTTCCATACTTAGCACAAATACCTAGCCTTCAAGGCCCAGGACCAATACCAGCACCACCTTAATTCATCCAAAAACGTTTTCTGAGCACCTAAGATTTTCCAAGCCCTGTGGTACCTCTCTTCTACAAAACTTTCTTAAGCCCCGATAATTAATTGGGTCGGCAGCTAAGTAATTGCGGGTTTCACACATATATGGCTTCAGTTGAATTTTTAGGTTTGCAGACGTAGTACAAATGTAAAACACATTTTGTTATTTGATAGTTGGCTATTCAGCTGTTAATCAGTAAAAAAAGTTTTTTGATCTGTTTTGTAGTTTTCGTTTGGTGTTCGTTGAAAAATGGAAAATCAAAAGGAACATTTTCGTCATATTTTGCTTTTTTATTTCCGCAAAGGGAAAAACGCATCGCAAGCTCATAAAAAGTTATGTGCTGTTTATGGTGACGAAGCCTTAAAAGAATGGCAGTGTCAAAATTGGTTTGCCAAATTTCGTTCTGGTGATTTTTCACTCAAAGATGAAAAACGCTCTGGTCGTCCAGTTGAAGTTGATGACGCCCTAATGAAAGCAATAATCAATTCCGACTGTCACAGTACAACACGTGAGATTGCAGAGAAGCTTCATGTATCACATACATGCATTGAAAATCACTTAAAACAACTTGGCTATGTTCAAAAACTCGATACATGGGTTCCTCACGAACTTAAAGAATCACAGTTAACGCAACGCATTAGCAGCTGCGATTTGCTAAAGAAACGTAATGAAAATGATCCATTTTTAAAACGACTGATAACTGGCGATGAAAAATGGGTTGTTTACAACAATATCAAGTGGAAAAGATCGTGGAGCAGGCCAGATGAACCAACTCAAACAACATCAAAAGCTGATATTCATCAAAAGAAGGTTTTGTTATCAGTTTGGTGGGATTACAAAGGAATTTTCTACTTTGAACTCTTACCACCCAACCGAACGATCAATTCTGATGTCTACATTGAACAACTAACGAAATTAAACAATGCAGTTGAAGAAAAGCGGCCCGAATTGACAAATCGAAAAGGTGTTGTATTCCATCATGACAATGCAAGGCCACACACATCTTTGGTCACTCGGCAAAAATTAATGGAGCTTGGTTGGGATGTTTTGCCACATCCACCATATAGTCCTGACCTTGCACCATCTGATTACTTTTTGTTTCGATCTTTACAAAACTCCTTGAATGGTAAAAATTTCAATAATGATGATGATGTCAAATCGTACCTGATTCAGTTTTTTGCTAATAAAAACCAGAAGTTTTTTGAACGTGGGATTATGATGCTGCCTGAAAGATGGCAAAAGGTCATTGATCAAAATGGGCAATACATTATAGAATAAAGTTATTTAGTTCCATGAAAAAATTCTTTGATTTTTAAAAACCCGCAATTACTTAGTTGCCGACCCAATAGAATTCATCTCATTGTTTCCTCTTTTATTACAGCACTTATCGTAGCCCATCTTGTAAGTAATGGTTTCTTTTTTCTAATCTCAGGACAGTGACTCAATCAATCTTCCAAGTTTCTAGCACTGCACCCTGTGCATAATAAGTCTGCAATTAGTGATTTATTAATAAATTTTAATTAGGATTTCCTCCTGCAATTGACGGTGCAATAGGTTACTTTTTAAAAATATGTTTTTACTGATTTTAGAAAGGAAGGGAGAGGGGGAAATATCTAAGTACCACGACTGGGGATCATAACCACAACCTGGGCATGTGCCCTGACCATGAATGAAACTGGTGACCTTTTGGTGCACAGGATGATGCTCAACCAACTGAGCCACACTGGCCAGGGCACAATAGGAGTTTTAAGAGATTATCATCACACTTTTTTTTAAATAGGCAGTACCTGAGCGAAGCATGAGAGGCCTGGGCAGATCCAATTCTAATTATGAGTTTGTTTTTGTCACCTAACAATTTTGTAAGCTTCACAATGTTGGGTGATTTCTAAAGTCCTATCGATTTGAAAAATTATGAGTTGATTCTAGCAACAGGAGGAAATTATTCACTTTCAACTATTTACATGAAGTACTAGGCGTCTCTGAATGAGACTGTAATAGTCCTCAATTAAATATTCCCTGTGAAGTACAATACTGTAAGGGTGGGCAATGAATCCCACCCTCTACTTTATTTACAGACACAGGGTAGTCCAGTCAGTTTGACAAAATAACAGTGCCTGGCATTGAAAGAGAAAGATTTTATAAAACCCATGCTTTAAAAATTCTATTTCAAGATCAACCAAAGACCTCGTATGCACCCATGGGCACAGACAACAGGGTGCTGAAGGTCTAGTTTACTAAGAAAAAACCCTGGACCTATGAAATAAGGTCTTAGGAAATTAGACATTTAAGGAAAGAGAAAGACAGAGAGAGATGCAGTAACCAACTTTAAAAAAAAATCAAGATGCAACCCAAAGCGTTACTGTTTTACTATTGCTAGAGGGATACGATTCATCATCCCTTTAGGCCCCCCCTTTTTTTTACGCCAGCGAAAATTTTGTGGAGGAAACCGAATTTACTGAACGGAAATACAGTGATTTTACTCTCCCCTCGAATTGAATTACTGCTGTGAGCCCGGGAGTCTGGCGCCTTCGGGCACTCGGCCATCCGGACACCTGAATTACTCCTGTGAACCCGAAGCCGCAGGAGAGAGCAAGTGCGCAGCCAGAGGGGCCTCAGAAGCCCCCTCCGGGCTGGGAGGCCCGGAACCGTGCGCCGCCCCCGCGGCCCGAGCCCACGGGCCTCAGGCCCCTCCCGCCGCGGCGCGCCCGCCGCTCCCCTCACCTCGTAGCGGGTCCCGCGCTTGTCCTTCAGGGTGGCGACGAGCAGGCAGGCGGGCCGCGGGGCTCCCGCTCGCCCGGCCGGAGGCCGCGGGGGGCTTCGGGGCGCCTGCTGGCAGAGGCTCAACAGCGCGCGGACGCCCTTGCCCCGGTTCCTCAACCCCAAGGCCGGCAAGTGCCGACTGACCACCTCCGCCTCGCAGTGCAGCCTCATCTCCGGAGCGGAGCGCGGCGGCAGAGTCGCAGCCCGACTTTAAAACGCGGCGATTCCCGCGCGCCGCCGCGCCGCCGCCGAGGTCCTCGAACGCGGGCTGCCCGCGGGCTGCCTGTCTGCTCCGCGCCAGCGTCGCGGCTCTCGGCACAGGGGCTCCGGGGGCCTCCCTCAGGGCCGCGTCTTCACGGCGGCTGCGGCGGCAGAGCGCGGGCACCGACAGCCTGAGGTCCCCGCGGGCGCCTCCCGAAGCCGGCGACGGGCCGGGCGTGGCCCTTCCCCGACTTCCGGGGCGGGAGCTTGGCGCTGGGGGCGGAGTTCTCCTTCCCGTTACTTACACACTGCGCCCGCTGAGTTTTCCGAGGGAAGGCGGTGTGTGTTAGGAGGAAAATGTCTTTGCTTACCCAGCGTTGGCATGAGTTGGGGTCCTCACCAGTTGCCCAGTGCCAGCTAGGGTGGGCATTCCCTGGCCCTGTTGGGCTGGTATTTTGTTTTTGGTGGCCCCCCTCGTTCCAGAGACAACACCTGTCACAGCAGAAGGAACTTGTTAGGACAGTACTGGACTTTGCAACTTCTGTTGAACAGATTCCCACTTTACAACTGCGAGGGGTTAGGATGGAGTAACTGGTTTAAATGCGTGTGAGACTTGGAAAGACCAGGGGGCGGGCCCTTTGGAGCCCTTATTCTGTCTCCGAAAGGGACTGGGACCCGGGCAGCGGGTCTGCCTCAGCACAGTCTGGGATGTGTGGGTTCTTGACTTTCTGCAGGAAAGAATTCAAGATAAGCTAGGTCAGTGGCCGGCAAGCCACATGCGGCTCTTTGGCCCCTTGAGTGTGGCTCTTTCACAAAAAAACATGCGTGGGCTCGCACATACAGTGCGATTGAAACTTCGTGGCCCATGCGCAGAGGTCGGTTTTTGTCCTGGCCTGGGTGAGTCTATTTGAAGAACTGGCTTTAGAACACTCAAGGGGCCAAAGAGCCGAAACCAGTTTGGCTCAGTGGGTAGAGCACCAGCCTGCGGACTGAAAGTTCCCGGTTCGATTCTAGTCAAGGACATGTACCTTGGTTGCGGGCACATCCCCAGTAGGGGGTGTGCAAGAGGCAGCTGATCGATGATTCTCTCTCATGGATGTTTCTAACTTTCTATCCCTCTCTCTTCCTCTCTGTAAAAAAATCAATAAAATATATATTTTTAAAAAAAGGGGGGGGGGAGGGAGGCAAAGAGCCAATTTACCGACCACTGGGCTAGGTGATTTTGGGAGTATCTGCCCCCTGATGGTCAGTGTGTGTCATAGCGACCAGTCAGTTGGACACTTAGCATATTAACCTTTTATCTATATAGATGTATAAATGTTAGTTGAGAACATTAGAGTAGTATAAAGTAGCCAGATGACGAGAACAATTTGTTTGCTAAACCTAGGCTTTAGCTGAAACCGGTTTGGCTCAGTGGTAGAGTGTCGGTCTGCGGACTGAAAGGTCCCGGGTTCGATTCCGGTCAAGGGCATGTACATTGGTTGCGGGCACATCCCCGGTAGGGGGTGTGCAAGAGGCAGCTGGTCAATGTTTCTCTCTCATCGACGTTTCTAGCTCTCTATCTCTCTCCCTTCCTCTCTGTAAAAAATCAATAAAAAATATATTTAAAAAATAAATAAATAAATAAAATAAACCTAGGCTTTAGAAAACCAGTGAAGCAAAATTTCAAGCAAGGGATAAACTTCACACCTACTTAGGAAAGGTTACTGTAGTCAGTAAAGAGAATACTTTGGAGGTGGAGCAAACCCAAAGGCAATTATCAGGTAGCTAAAGCAACAACCCACAATCTACACTGCTGCCAAAATACATTTCTAAAGAGGTCTTCTAGCCCTGGTTTGACTTGGTGGATAGAACGTTGACATGTGTGCTAAAGGGAATGGGTTTGATTCTGGTCAAGGACACAGATGGATTTTGGGCTTGATCCCCAGTAGGGAGCATGCAAGAGGCAGCCCATCAATGATTCTCTCTCATCATTAATATTTGTATCTCTCTCTACCTCTCTCTTCCCCTCTGAAAAAAGAGGTCCTAAGATAGAATCGTAAACTTTTGGAGTCAAAACATAGTTTACAGATAGATATTCTAATTCAATTCTCTCAATTTACACCAGGGGAATAGAGGCTGAACAGAGTAAAGGGACTTGCCTGTGACCTCATAGATAGTGTTAAAACAAGTAGTACTAGTGTTATGCTCAGATTTCAAGATCCCCAAGGACCACCAGGGAGCCGAGTCCGATGCCAAAGCAAAAGAGCCTTTATTCAAACTTGAGCCTGGACTCCCTGCCTCTACCGACACAGAGGCAGAATGCAGAGAGCCCCGAGCTCTGAAAATGTGGTCTTTTTTATAGGGTTTAGGGTTGGGTGTTGGGGTGATGCTTGGACCACTGAGTTGGCTGGTTCTGATTGGAGGAGTGAGGGCCAGGGTCTGGTTATGCTGGGTTACTTCCCTCTGTATTTCTATTGGCTGATTTAAAGGTGGCTTGGGTAATTGATACATTTTATACAAGATGGAAGGCACTGTACAAAATGGAGTCAGTCCTGCTCTGCCCTTGAAAGAAGGCTTACGTGCTGGGAAAGGGCCATGAGACCATATCTGAAGGCCTGGACTGGTGTCAGCACTGATAATTCTATAATCCACGGCCTCTCTGGAAGCATGCTCCAACATTCTCTAAAACTAGAACTCATCTTACCTGCTATACTCGATCCTTCTCCAAAACTTCATGGAGTCCCATTCTTTGCAATTTAAACACAAATGCCCAAAGGCTCGGTCTCTTATTCCTTTGGAATCCAGGTCCTATTATGTATCTGGACAAATCACCCCAGGGCAGCCTCTCTGATTTTTCAATTCCTGCTTAGCATCTGCTCTTTAGGATTCCCTGGGGTTCAACTCTGTACTTAAAAAAAAACAACACAAAAAAAACCCCATATATATATGGTATATATATATATATATATATATATATATATATATATATATATATATATATATATATATATATAAACCATATATATGGTTTACATTATATATACAAACCATATATATGGTTTATATTATGTATATAACCATATATATATTATATAGAAAGAGATAAAAACATCAATGATGAGAATCATTGACCAGCTTTCTCCTGCATGCCCCCTACTGGGGATTGAACCCACAACCCAGCTTGTGCCCTTGACTGGAATCAAACCCAGGACCCTTCCTTCCATAGGCTGACGCTCTATCCAGTGAGCCAAAAACGGCTCAGCTCTGCTTTAAAACATAATATTTCATCTAGCACTTTTTTTCAAGAAAAATCTTACATTATCTTGTCCAAAATATTGCTACATGATTACTTATTTAATGCCCATCTTCACCTTTAGGCTATAGGCTTCCTGGTGACAGGTTCTGAGTCATTGCTGTTATATTCAAGGCCAAGGTAGTGTTTACATTTAGTAGGTATTAGTGATAACCTGAACAGTGAGCCAATGTCCCCCCCCCCCCCCCCAGGGGTTGTGTCTCCCGACACTGAAGAATGAACGCCAGGGATCAGAAGATTTAAGCAAAAGTATGGAAAATTTAGTACAAGCAGATTCAGACTCCCCTCACAGGAAGGAGGGCTCAGTGATGGGCTGCCCCCTGAAGCCTTGTTGTCCTGGGGTATATATTTGCTACGAGCCTGTTTCTATATCTATCCATGTCATCACATCAATTGTTCTTGCTCAGCCAAGGACCTGAACTTTCTGTTTCTATGTGTTCTCTTTCTGTTCCTATGCTGAACTTTCTCTGTATCTGTGTTCGTACAGCTTGTTGCTGAAGGCCTTCTCTTGTTTTCCCATGCCTCCTGCTTTAATTCCAGAAACATTTTATTATTTCTGTTTGGTTGGTTTCTGTGATTAGGCTGCTCAAACTGCCACGGCTGCCTCTGCCTGTGTTCCACCTGCCTTTGTTTTCCACTGGACCCCTGCCCTGTCTGCCTGGGTTTCAAATTAACTCTCTCATTAGGGTTTGGCTGGTGACACAGGCTGTGAAAGAATTCACAACTGAGAGAAGAGACAGAGGCAGGGAGGTACTTTATTTTACTTTCCAAGAGCGGAAAGAACCAGTGTATTGCTAGTCAACACAGGGTGGGAAAGATAGAGTGGACTGCACTTTTAAGCAGTTGCTGTTGCTAAATGACAAGGAAGGGAGGGGGGCTGGGTTGAGGTTGAGCAGATGCTGTTACAGAAAACCAGAGAACTCAGCAATGCTTAGAGAGATGGAGTTACATTTATTATTATTATTATCATTATTATTATTATTATTATGCATGGGCCCAGAGGAAAATGTCTCTCAAATTCTGGGTGAAGTCACAGAGGAAATTTTTGGTATTTATATGTTTTTACCTTCTTTGTCTCCCAAATAAGATTTTTTCCGGTTCCCTTTGCAAGTTCTTAAAGGGCTCTATGTTCTGGGGCTTTGAGACCTCAACCAAAGGCTTGTTCTGGCGCCAGCACTGATAACTTTGGGAAAAGTTTATGGCCTCTTTGGAACAGGGAGTAGTCTTATTTCCTTATTCTTTAAGCAAGCAAGCAAGCATTTACAGAAACCAAAAATAGCAGGGTTAAAATTTCAGACAGCAGTTTTTATATAAGATGGATGCTTCAATACCAGGGAGGTTGTCTTGAGAAATCTGTTTGCATTCCAAGAGTCAGTCCAGCAGATGTCCTAAGGAGGTGTGTCTTGTCAGTATTTTTCCCAAGCCTGTAAAATGTTTACAGCAAAATTTATGAAGAGTTCAAAAGAGGCTTATTTGAAAGAGGATGGAGGGAAGCACCTTTGTACTAACTAGAGACTCCTTGGTGAGAATTATCTCTGAGTTAAGAAAATATCAAGGAGGAGGGGTATGTAAGGATACAACCTGAGAGCACCTTATCATGTCCAGTTGTTTGAAGAGAGGAGCTGACAACCTCAGGGTTTAATTACCAGGGGCTTCTCACAAACTGTGGAAGGCCACAGCGAAGAAAGAGAGGCCCTTTTTCCTCTCTTTCAAATCAAAATGACAATGTGGTACCATTTCATACCTGTCAGAATGGCTATCATCAACAAATCAACAAAGGATAGGCACTGGCAAGGATGTGGAGAAAAAGGAACCCTCGTGCACTGCTGGTAGGAATGCAGACTGGTGCAGCCACTGTGGAAGACAGTATAGAGTCTCCTCAAAAAATTAAAAATGGAACTTCCATTTGACCCAGTAATCCCACTTCTAGGAATATATCCCAAGAAAACAGA